CAGACAGAAAGAGACATAGAGACAGAAAGCGAGAAATCACCCCCCAGGGGGGATGGTCACGCCACAATCCATTCTCCTCCATTCTCTTCTCGGGATCTTGGGCATGCACGCATACGCGCCCAGCGTGAGTTTTAAGCCACCGGGTCTGGGATGCGAACCACGGTCGACTATGTGGCAGTCCAGCAACATAGCCATTACGCTAACTGCTGGTTCCTTTTTCTTTTTTCCTTTTCTTTTTTTTTTTTTTTTTTTTTGAGAGGTTTTTTGCTATAGGAGGCGTGTCCTCACCAGACAGATAGAAAGAGACAGAGAAACAGAAAGTGAGAAATCACCCCCCAGGGGGGATGTCCACGCCGCAATCCCTTTTCCTCCATTCTCCTCTCGGGATCTTGGGCACGCACGCACACGCGCCCGGCATGAATTTTAAGTCACGGGGTCCGGGATGCGAACCGCGGTCGACTACGTGGGAGTCCAGCGACATAGCCATTATGCTAACTGCTGGTCCAGGTATCTGTTTTTTATGGTTCTGGGCAGTTTATGTATTATCTCCATTTCCACGTGTTTATTTGCATGACAGTAATCCAAAACAAACATCATTTCGCACAAAAATGGCAGAAAGAGGAAAAATTCATTTGTCACCACCTATTTCTTGACCACCTACTATGTGCTGGGCAGGACTCATGTCCTGCCACCCTCACGACTGTGATCATCACGAGCATTGCAGGAGGGTGAGCACTTGAGTCGAGGACCACAAAAGCAAGGCCACAGAGTCACGTGACCTTGCATGGCTCTGTAGAACCAGGGGCCAGAGGCACTGAACTGAGTCTGTTACTGTCACTTTAAAACTAGGAAAAGAAACATGTCATTGCCTTAAGATGTATTTTCTTTAGAGAAAACATTTTTCCTTACTGTGAAATTGAATAATGAGATGCTAATAAAATAAAATGTCCAAGGGACCCACGCCTTAGAAGGGAACATGTTGACATTAATAGTTTCCATGTAAGACATTTGGATTCAGGATCTTTTAAATGGCTGTCCTTCCCCTACCAGAAAGCAGATTAGGTAAGAGAGGGTTGACTTCTTAAGTGGAAGAGTCACTGCCTATCTCTGGCTGGTGATTACATCTCAGACCCTACACACCAGCACTGAGCCAAGGAACATTTTAAAAACCAAGTAACCTACTGCCTTTCAAACGACAAGATCTGTGTTTATTAAAGTACCTTGCGGCTTGAACTATCTGTGATTCTTTGAAACAAGACGTATTTCAGACACAACAGTTTGACACCCCAATGAAGATATTTTTCTCTTCTGCATCAGTTAGCTGCTCCTTGAAGTTTAAATTCTGTTCCTTAGCCTGCAAGGGGGCTGAGATCTGATTCCATCCATATTTAAAGAAGCAGTGATCCCAGAACTGCAAGAAATCCCTCAAGGAGCTTGCTGTTTACTGAGGGCAAGGAGACAAATCCCTCGAGGCCTGCCCATAATCAGAGCTGCTGAGGTAGCAGAGGTTGTCTAGAGGGGGAGTAGAAAGCACCCAGTGTTGATGAAGGGAGGCAGGGCAAGCCGGTCAAGAAGGACGGATTTGGTGTGGGCCCTGAAGGAGGGGGAGAAATCCACAGGTGGGAAGGGGGAGGTGAGGTGACACTCTGAGAAGGGGACCCTGGAGATGTTCAAACAATAGCAGGTGTTAGACAAAATTAAGACTATCGCCTCAGGTGTGCCCAGACTCACTTGCATGGACATTTACCTTGCTCAATTGTTGATCATTTTACTGGAATCCAAATGCTGATTTGATATTTGTTTCTTTATGAACCTATGAAAATAAATTAGTATCTTTCAAAATTCCCCTGTTAGAGTATGTCCTAATTTGTCATCCAGAAAATGTTGAGGCATCAGGCTCCCAAGAGGGTTGATGGGCCATAGACTCTGGGTGCCCAGGTTTTCTGAGGGGAGGAGTGGTACAACCTGGGCTTAGAGAGGGGAGATCAGCTGTGGTGTGTAGGAAGACTGGGCGAAGGGAGAGAAGGCCACTTTGAAGATCATGAAAACTACAGGGAGCAGCTGACAGTGCAAATGACGCTGGTGAAGACGGACAGCTCACGCTGGGCTTCATAAGTCATTCAGGGTGTTTTACGCATTGTCAATATCGCAGAGTCCTGGGAGCTCGACTGGATCTGTTATGTGATGTTTGAAAAGGGTATCTTTTAATTAAGGTTTTCTTGGCCCAGTATTAAAATTAGACTTTACTTCCTAAGCACACACCAATGGATCTAGCAAAGGGAAGACAGAGGACCTGCGTGATGGGAAAAGCCAATCGGGATTAAAATACGCCGTGAGTAACTATGGCCCTTCAATATACTTTAGATAACTTCCGTTGGTACCATTAAGACTTATGATTGGTTGGGTCAAAATGTATTGAAATTATTTTCTTACCTAGATTTTTCACTGTTTATCTAAATGAAAGAGTTCGCTCTTCAGTGAAAAACCATCATAAATGTTCCAAAAAAACATTTTTACCCCAAAAGGGACATTTTATTCTAAGACACATTTTTAAAATGTAGATGTCTTTGAATATGTTTGTGCTGTGGTCAAATAATTAAATTTAGTTCTCTTCCTCCCTCTTATTATATCTGACGCTTCCTTCAACTTAAAGATGCTGTTGAGCTTTCTAAATGTGTAAATTATTGATGAGCTGATTGCAGGTTTAAAATCAAGCAGGCTCTTCCAGGGTTTCAATCAGTCCCGGGCAACACTGCGAAATAGCTGACAGTTGTTTCTGAATCTCTTTATCCCTTCATCCCTTTATAAGCAGCTCTTGATCTTCTTGTCTCTAGCCACCATCCTCATTCCATCCTCCTGGCTCTCTTGGGCCACCTTCTCAGGGCAACCATTTCTGTCCCCCCATCCTTCTAGAAGCCCCTCACTTCCAGCAAGAAGCACTTCTTTCTTTCTTTTGTTTAAGAATTATTTTATTTTATTGGGACCAGCGGTTGGCATAATAGGTATGTCACTAGACTCCCACATAGTTGATTGCAGTTCAAGTCCTGGACTTGGTGGCATAAACTCACACCAGGCGTGTGTGCGTGCGTGCCCAAGATCCTGAGAGGAGAATGGAGCAGAAGGGATTGTGGCATGACCATCCCCCCCAGAGGGGTGATTTCTCACTTTCTGTCTCTCTGTCTCTCTGTCTTTCTGGCAAACACACACGCCCTAAAGCAAAAACCTCTCAAAAAAGAAATAATAATTAGTTTATTTAACTATTTATTTACTTATTTAAATTTGACCAGAGACGGACAGAGTGAGAGAGAGAGTGTGTGAGAGCAAGTCACCAGGTCCAGGACTCAAACTGTGGTCAGCCGTTTAGGAGTTCAGTGACCTTAACCACCATACCACCTGTTGGCCCTGTAAGATCTTCTTTCAATCCCCTTTCTATCTACCACATTTTCTCCTCCTTCAAGTGGGAACAGTCCTCACAGACAAAATCTAATACATCAATGTAACCCTTTCCTTGGCAAAATATTACAACTTACTGGGAGGCTTTGGTCATTTAACAATTTTTTTTTTTCATAAAAACTCAGGTACCACAGTCAGCCAGGAGAGAAGAACTTAGTAATCTACAACATATTGTAGAGTTTTCAAAATTCTTTCACCTCTATTTGCTCATCATTACTTTGGTATATCTGAAAGAGTTTGGTGATGAAGGGGTTGGAGAATACAAACATTTATATGTTAGCAGACTTCTTTTTTTAAATTATGATTTATTTAATTTTATTTATTCATTCATTTATTTTAATTTGACCAGAGAAAGAGAGAAAGAATGAGAAAGCAAGCCACCAGGTCCAGGACTCGAACCGTGGTCTGCCCTGTGGGAGTGTCCAACACCTTAACCACCATGCCACTTTCTGGTCCCAGCAGACTTCTTTTTTTTTAAAGAGGTTTTTGCTATAGGGCACGTGCACTCGCCAGACAGACAGAGAGAGACAGAGAGACAGAAAGCGAAAAATCACCCCCCAAGGGGGATGGCCACGCCGCATTCCTTTCTCCTCCATTCTTCTGTCCCTTTGGGATGCTGGGCCTCATGTACACGTGCCTGATGTATTTTCCAAGTCACCAGGTCCGGTCGACTCCGTGGGAGTCCAGCGACACAGCCATTACGCTAACTGCTGGTCCCCCCCAACAGACTTCTTAAGACATGTGACCAACTGGGAACCAGCAGTTAGCATAATGGCTATGTCGCTGGACTCCCACATAGTTGACTGCGTCTCGGACCTGGTGGCTTAGAACTCACGCTGGGCGCGTGTGCGTGCGTGCCCAAGATCCCGAGAAGAGAATGGAGGAGAAGGGATTGCGGCATGACCTTCCCCCCTGGGGGGTGATTTCTCGCTTTCTGTCTCTGTGTCTCTCTCTGGCTGGCTGGCTAGCGCACACGTCCTATAGCAAAAAAACCTCTCCAAAAAAAAAACATGTGACCAAGCTGCAAAGAAATCTCATTATATCTTTTCATCTTGCCTTTTGATTAGAGTAGTAAAATTACAAATTAAAACTAATTTTTAAATCATTTTAATAGTTGATGTCCCTGTGGAGAAGTGGGGCCCAGAGTCATATGTAGAGAGATTGAAAATGTAGCAGATAATCTGAAACAAGATGACTAGGCTATTAACTGGGGCTTCTTGAAATGGCCTGTCTCTGTGGCCGCAGATACATGCTGCACTGGGTCTAAATCCTGAGTTATGGGTGAAGCCTAGGAAATAGGAGAGGCTGGCCTGCAAGAAAAGGATCTGACATTCTGCCTTGTATGGAGGAGGCTTCAGAAGACTGTCCCTGGGTGTCAACGTGGCTTTGCTCAAGCAGAATTCTGAGGCAGTAAGGGAGGGGCTAAATGAGGCATTGCTACACTTCTCAGTCAGCTTGAGGCCAGGGGTTCACTCTCAAAGACTCACAAGGCTCTCTACCCAGTTCTTCCCTGTTATTGTACTTCACAGATCCAGAAATCCTTAGGTTGTGAATGTATACAGTTAATAGTCATTGCTTTAGCTATGAGGGGTCTTGGAAAAGTTCATAGAACATGCATACTATGGGAGACCAGCAGTTAGCGTAATGGCTATGTCGCTGGACTCCCACATAGTCGACCGTGGTTCCAGTCCCGGACCCGGTGGCTTAAATTCACGCCAGGCACGTGTGCGTGCGTGCCCAAGATCCTGAGAGGAGAATGGAGGAGAAGGGATTGCGGCGTGGCCATCCCCCCTGGGGGGTATTTTCCTGCTTTCTGTCTCTCTGTCTCTCTCTGTCTGTCTGGCAAGCACACGCGCCCTATAGCAAAAACCTCTCCAAAAAAAAGAAAAGAAAATGCATACTATAAAAAAAAACCCTACACATGAATTTAAATGTTCTTCATACCACAATAAACTTGTACTTTAATTCAATTTTCCACAAAACTTTTTGAAGTTCCCACATATATATCCCTTTTTTAAAAACATTTTATAACGTTTTCATAAAGAACTTTCTGAACATGCATACCTGTCTCTACTCTGTTGAGAAGAGACTAAATAAAGAAACAGAACACTGTAGATTCATTTGGGCTGGAGGAGAAGTGGATGTAGCATGGAATTCTAGGAAGCCAGCAAGAAGAGGACGGGTCAAAGCGAGAAAGAGTGCAGATCCTCAGTAGGACAGGAAAAGGCAAGAGGGAACATGTCAGGGAAAGCTCAGGCATCTGTTCCCTATCATCAGTGGCTTTCCTTTGGCCCAGCCCTCAGAGTTTTATATTTGGCATGACGGAGTGGACTATGGGTATTTTGGGTGCATACAGATGGCCTTACTCAGATGTGCTAAGGCAGGCTGCACTGGAGGCTCTGGCCACCCTTCCTGCCTCCTTCCCCTCCACCTCTGGTGAGATCAATACCAAGGCTGGGAGGGTGCTTAAAAATAAGCCAACCGGGGCCAATGGTGCAAGAGTGACGCAATTCTCTGTAAGACTGACCCACATGGGAAAGTTCTAGTTTCCATGTCCAGAGACCTTCCTGAAGGTGCCAGGTGCATGCATGTCCATAATCTGGATCATGGTAGGAAGACCCTTTTAGAGTTGCCTGTCCGTTATCACTCTCTCTGTCTTTTTCTTGCTTGTAGAATAAATAAATGAGTAAACTTTTAAAAAATATATAAAAGCAAACAAGGCAAACACAATTTAACATCCTCTATTTTCCTAAGACATTTACTTTTTAAAAATACAGTCAAATTTTATCTCAATGTTATTTAAAATAAATAAAAATCATAGATAAACCTTGTAAGTGCTCTGGTCTTTAAAAAAATTTAGTGATGGAGTTGCAAAAAGGATCTATTACCCCCAAATTAGTAACTCCTTCCACATAGATCACAGTTGCAAGGTTCTTTTTAATCTGCTTCTTAAACTGTGCTTTGAAAAACTTTGATGTGTCCAAATGGATGCAAACTGTTATTATTTCTACTGCTATATTTGAAGTCACTGGCTATATATTAAATGAAGAAATGTTGTTTTGAGGTCATAATTTATATTTTTATTTGGTTGCTTATTTTCGTGGAGTATAGTTTCTTTTCAATCATATTAGTTTCCAGAGCTAACTACTGTGCTATGTAGTTTTTCTTATAGACAAATTAATAATAAATGTCATCTGATTTTCTCCATATCATAATGTCTAATAGATACTTTTCGTCACAAAATTTGATGAAATGAATTTAGTAGAATATCTGAATCTTCTAATGACCTTTACATATTCTGTGGCATGCCTTTAAAAACGAACAATTATACTTCTATACCTCAATTTTTCCCTCCAGTAAATGGGAAATGGCGATAGCTTACCCTTTCCTCTCTCTTCCTCACCAGATGGTTTTTAAGTGGTGGCAAGCCTTTGTAAGGAAAATCGTCTTTTAAAAATATGCAGTCGATCGAATTCCTTTTCCCTAGCTCAATTCTCTCGGTGCTTCTTGGGGTCATGTATTGAACCTAACCTTTGCTTTCTGAAGAAAAAAAGTAAAAGCAGCAGTAACTTGATGGCTTGGGAGTCCCTGATATCTCCCTTGTCTCTTGACTCAGGAAGCAGAAAGCAGAGCTCTAACTCCCTTAGCTGTGTCTCAGTGAAGCAGCACTGGTGTGTTTTTCTTTGTCCACTTTTCAGATGGTTTTCACAGACATTCATCCTTATGGCACTGTGAGACGCGCAGCCGTTCCTGTTTCTGTTCTTTTGCAGCTCAGCGACTGCTCTGAGGCTCCTCTCTCATCAGCAGTAGAGTGGAGCCCCGAGCCCCAAACTCAGCGGGCCCTGAGAGGGCATCTATGTCAAGTACCTTTTCTACCCTCAGTTTCCTCTCACTGGGGCTTATAAAGGCCCCTGCTTTCATGGAGCTTATAGTAGAGTCGCTATGTCTGTCAAGTTTAGCCACAGTCCTGTCACATCGCTGGTACTCATTCGCTGGTACCATTATAAGAATGATATGAGAGGAGGAGCCAGCAGGCGGCATGGTGGTTAAGGCACTGGATTCCCACATGGCCGACCACAGTTCAAGTCCTGGATCCAGTGGCTTGAAAGTCATGTTATGTATGTGCGTGTGTGCGCCTGAAATCCCAAGAGGAGAATGGGGGAGAAAACATGGAGGTATAGCCCTTCCCCCGGGAATGATTTTCTCACTTTTCCTCTCTCACAATCTCTCCCTGCATCTCTCCCCAGTGAGCACACATGCCCTATGGAAAAATCTAAAAATAATAATGGTAATAAAATAATAATGGAGACCAGCAGTTGGTGTAATGGCTATGTCGCTGGACTTCCATGGAGTTGATTTCGGTTCGAGTCCTGGACCCGGTGACTTAAACTCACGCCAAGCGCGTGTGCTTGCGTGCCCAAGATCCTGAGAGGAGAATGGAGAAGAAGGGATTGCTGTGGGTTCGCCACCCCCCTGCCCCCGCCCGGGGGGTGATTTATCGCTTTCTGTCTCTCTGTCTCTCTTTCTGGCGAGTGCACACACCCTATAGCAAAAACCTCTCAAAAAAAAATAATAATCATGGGCAAGTAACATTATTAGAAGAGATCTGGAAGAGAACTGGCAGGGGAGGCTGAGTTTGGATGTCCAGTTGACAGTACCCCTGAGATCAACATTACCTAGGACATTTCTCATCTTCTATGTGATAGTTGCGTTATCTGCCCATCCTGCCCAGACGCAGGTGGCCATTCTAAGGATGGTTTGGTAATTTCACGCAAGAGTGAAATATTCTTCCCTATAATTATACAGAATTAAGCATCTCTGGTGAAATGAAGGCTAGTTTACAGATTTAATCTCTCTGGTAAACATGACTGTAATTCTAGAAAAAAGTGTTATTTAATAGTCATCCCTTCCCTTCCCTTTCCCTCTCCCAACAGATAACTCAAGCTCTCCAGGGTGCAGCCAACATGATCTCTGCAGGCCGATAATGGAAGAGAATGAAACCTGGAGATCCTGTGCTCTGACTTCCCTGGACGATGGATGGGGGGCAGCCCATCCCTTCACCCCTAGTGCCTCTCGGAAACCTGTCATCTGATTCTAGCATGTCTCTGGAGCAGAAAACGACATTCGTTTTTGTGATTTTGTTGTTTATTTTCTTGGGTATCCTCATCGTCAGGTGCTTCCGTATTCTTCTGGACCCATATCGGAGCATGCCCACCTCCACCTGGGCTGATGGACTTGAAGGCCTGGAGAAAGGGCAGTTCGACCATGCCCTGGCCTAGCAAGGATGGAGCAGAATCTCCTCCTGGGAAGTGAAGTGCTTCCTGTCTTGGTGGGGATTCCCTTTACTCCATGTTCTCAATAAATCAAATTTTAACACTACCTGGTCTTTGGACCACAGAAATCCATTATTCCCTAGACATGCAGTTGGCTTAGAGACATGTGAGGATTTGGACATGGACATTTACATTACTCAGCAAAAACAGGAATATTTCAATTTCTTTGTTTGCTCCATGAATGAATATTGTTGAACAGGTATGACTGTGAAACAAAGAACATTAATAGAATTTGCATAAAATGAAGAGCCACCCAATGTAGCCAGAGAATAATGGTTTGAGAGGATCTAATCTAATCTGGTGACATGATTGAGAAACTTCCTTGTTCTAATCACGTCTCTCAGTTGTTCTAGTTTTTAGGGGCCTGAGTCCTGGAGGAGGATTATGCTGAGTGGACCCAGCCCAGTTATTTGTTGACTCCTAAAGTAGAGACATTGGGAAACAATGGGAGGGCTAGGAAGAGATGGTTTTGTCTCTGAAAAATATGAGTGAAAATGATAACATTTTGTTTTTCAAATAAATCTGAATCAAAGGCTGCAGAGTTTTTAAGACTATTAATCAATCCAAGTACCTTCTATGTATTCATATTAAGAACATGTGTAGAGGTAGCTACACGTGACCTGAATTTACTTCCTTTACACAAATGGTGAAATAATTAACTGCAAGTACAACTTTGAGGTGTTTATTTGTCTTTAGTCCAATGATAACTGCTTGGAGGAGAAGAATTTTAAAGTCTTAAGAGGAATGTGTCTTATGACTGCATATAGTCACCAAATTAAACTTCTCAAGAAACAGAAATGTCTTCTTTATTATTTCACCAAGACCAATGCTTTAAGGACAGTATGTTGGATTGAATGCTGAGGTTTAACATTTTTCCGAGAGAAAAAAAAGAGTCCGGAGCATGAAAGGTCATTTAATTTGTTTCTCTCTCTCAAGGAAGGTCTCTCACAAAACTGTCCTGCCCAGAGAAAACCTATTCTAGGCATTATTTAACTCTACCAAAAAAGGAGCTGTAAATGCCTTTTATTCCAATTTTCCTTGGTAGGAAAAGCTCATATCTTAATCAAACCCCATATATATGATAATCAATGCACTTCAATCTTATCCTCAGCTACTCAGCATTATTTTTTTCAGTAAAACAAAAACCTTTAAAAAGCCAACTAGGCCTCAAAAGGCAGCCCTTAGAAAAACTTTCTTGTCTCCTATCTTGTTTTTATTCTTCAGGTATTCTGCTGCCCACATTCCCTTCCTTTCCATCTCTCCTCTTGATTCCTTTCTATCTTGTTTTTCTTAATAAAACTTTATTGAAATATAATTTATTTCAATATTTTTATTTATAACATACCATAAATATAGCCTCCTAAAGTATAAAATTAGATCATTTTTAGCATGTTCACAGAACTTCATGACCTTCCCATTCCCCCCACACCCTGACCCCACAATCTCTAATCTCCTTTCTGCCTGTCAATTTGCCTGGTGGGATCAGACAACACAATGGCTGCCAGTGCTCAGCTTCTCTCACTGAGCATTCATTCAAGTTTCATCCCTGGTTGAAGCAGGATCAGTGCTTCATTCCTTTGTAGGGCCAAATTACATTTCGTTGTTGGCATTTCTTGCTTTCTGTTGATCCACTGGCTATAGTGGTAATGCTGCCATGCCTGTTGGATGTACACGTCTTTGTATGGGCTTGTGCTTTCGGTTCTCCAGGACGTATACCCAGCAGTGAATTTGCTAAGTCACAGGGTAACTCTGTGTTTAACTTGTTGGAGAACAGTGGACCCTTTCCCAAAGAAGCTGCCTCACTTTACATGCAGACTGGCAGTGTATGAGAGTTCAGATTCTTTTCTGAACATTTTCCAACTACTCAATTTCTTCTTTAGCTATAGAATTTACAAGTGAGCACACGACTTTAAGAATGATTCAGGTTAAACAGAGTGAGCCACCTTCTGGTTTTTACTTGCTGCAAGAGTGTAGATGCCTTTCAAGATCCTCCTCTTCTAGACCTGAAGCTGAGCGCTGCAGCTGCTCTGTGGTCATGCTGTGGTCCATTGTGTCACCTGAGTATTCTTCTGCCATACGAATACATACTTCAACCCACTCACTGTAAAGATGTCTTCTTTCTTCCAAGGTACTGTACGTCCTTATTAAATTTTTTTCTTATTTCCTCAAGAGTTTATTTCAACCCACTTGAGTACTTAGGGAGCCCCTGCTTTGAGCCTGTCATTGCCATAGAGAAAGGAACTGGACAGAGCCAACTCTTAATCTTGAGTGCTTTTCTACCTTGTTGGAGAGATAGTAAATGAAAGAATGAATGCAACTGCATCATTGCTCAAATGACTGATATAGACCTGGGTTTCCACATCAGCAGAACCACTGTGGAGTTCAATATGCATACTAATTTTTATAATATTTAAAAGGTGTACATGATCACTGTAAAAATATAGGAAACAATATAAACAATAGTAAAATTCTACCACTTTAGGACCGTAACACCTCAGTTTCTCCTAGGGAATTTGTTGAAAGTGGACATTACCACGGCTTCCCATTCATACGAGTTGATTCTGAAGAGCAGAGTTAGTGAACGAATGCTCCAAGAGATCAAATATGGGGAGCGATAGATGAGAACTGGAAAAGTAAAGGCAAGGGCCCAGGAGGCAAGGCCTTAGGCGCGATAGTGCACTTGGTTTAAAGCTTTATGCAATGTAAACAAGTATTGTGAAATAAATTGGATCTTGACCTAAGAGAAGGGAGATGTTTTATATTTGTGCAAAGGAAGGGAGCAGGAAAGAAAATCAAAGCATAAAGAAATGCAGGTCTGGGTGTGAGGCTCTGGGCTGGGAGAGCAGCATGGCTGCAGTAGACAGTTGGAGAGGGAGCCTATCCCGAGTGGGGAGAACAAAGGTTAAAGTGGACATCAGAGGTACTAAACAGAAACATCTAGTGTGGGAGTCACCGTAGACTCATGAGAAAGAGAACGACATGAGGAGTGGTGTGTCAGTTCCAGCGTTGGCACCTTCCTCATTACCACACTAGGATCAACTTCCATAATGGGGACAAACTGAAATAGCCACCTGCCCTCTCCTAGGCCTTTAAGCATGGGCATTGCTAGTGAGTGCCATCAGGCCCCCACCACCTTCTCTTCTTTCTTCCCTTTACTCTCCATTCTATTTTCGTTTCTCCTTCTCTGATTACTGCTCCTCTGTCCAACCTCTTCTCAGTGGGTCTCCCCCTCCTCCCTCATCCAGGGCAACCATAACAAGTGATAAATCGCTTTAGGCTATTCAGAGTAAATTGATCCCCCCTGTGAGAAGTGCTAACTCTGTTTTAATTACTCTTGGCTTCTTGGGGTGAACAGCATATTCTCAAAAGGTCACAGAAACTCTCTTTCTTGGGCTCCTGGTTACAGGAATTACAGTGCAGCATTTGGCCTATCTTACAAGGTGTTTATAATGAGTGCAGTTGGCCTTTCTCATGTATGTCTGCATCCCAGGATAAAATTTAAACATGACTTTCCCAAGGTCACTCTAGAATAGAACTGCTTTTTGATTCAGAGAAATGTGGCAATTCTTTCTCAGTCTGAGCTCTGAATCACCACCCCATGGTTTATGCCACCCAAGAGACCCCAACTTCTAAATCAACCTCTCTCCCTCCAAGAGACTTTTCAAAATACCTTCACTGGGCGTAAAGTGAGTTTAACATGGGGTGTGAAGGAGATTAACTTGACTCCTGCTGTTAAATTAATAAACATTCCAGGACTGGAGAATTCTTTTTGCTATTTTTAAGGGTTAAGGCTGAGGCAAAATAAACAGTTCTAGGAGGCAGAAGTAGATAGAGCAGATGTTTATATATGCAGAAAAAAGTATGTGTTCAAGTTCCTTTTTAATTGGATTCATTACACAGTGTTCCACTGAAACATGGAAGCCTTTATGCTGTAAATATATTGGTAAATTGGATGTGATGATAAATTTTACTTGTCCACCATAAATAATTTTTTTTTAAACCTTGTAGTTTCATGATGTAAATTTTCAGAATCAACATGTGAAAATATTGGATGCGATTATTTTCTATAAATATTCTAAACCCCAAAGCATTGAATAAAATCTGAAATGTGATTTGTGAGATGTATGTTTTGTGACAAAACTTCTGTAGGCTTCTCATTTATTGATTAATCCCAAAGTTGTAGAATTGATTTCCAGAAAAAAAAAATATTCAAATCACTATTATGTGCTTATGCCCAGGATCAAACTGACCCATGCCACTTTATTAATTTAACATGAGGACAGAAGTCTGACTGCTTTTTCCTCTTTTCTGAAATCCTTTCCAGAGCGCCTGGAGGAAGTCAGGCCCACAAACATTAACAGACCATTTGGCCCATGGTAACAGGATTCTTCCTACATCCTGCCCCTGGCATAGTATCTTTGTGATGTATATTAAATCTCCTTATCTTTGTTAAAGTACATGCTTTTCTGATCACCAGCCTAAAAAACTATAGCCCCACCTAGAACCCACCAGCCCCTGCTTCCACATGTCCCACATTTTTGGGCCAGGCTAATGGGAAAACTCTTCACTAAATTCTAAACCCTGTCTCTCACTCTCAAAACCAAATAAAAGGAACCCTTGTACCTGATGTGGACAGAAGCCTGACTGCTTTTTCCTATTTTTTCAAAGTCCTTTCCAGAGGTCCTGGGGTGGGGAGGGGTGGGGTTCTGATCTCAGCAACCTTCCTTTTCCAATCACTACCCTAAAAGCTATAAAACCCACCAATAACCTCCAAGTCCCACCCCTTCCACATGCCCCTCCTTTTTGGGCCAGATTAATGGAAAACCTTTTCACTAAATTCCAAACTCTGTCTCTCACTCTCAAAATCAAATAAAAGGAAACGCTATACCTGATCACTCTGAGAGAAATACACGTTTTGCCTCCTCTCAGGGCCTAGGTCACTCATATTCTGCTCGGAAATAAACCACATTAATTATTGACTTTTTTTTCCTTTGGAGAGGTTTTTGCTATAGGGCGCGTGCACTCTCCAGAAAGACAGAGAGAGACAGAGAGACAGAAAGCGAGAAATCACTCCCCAAGGGGGATGGCCACGCCACAATCCCTTCTCCTCCATTCTCCTCACAGGATCCTGGGCACACAGGCACACATGCCCGGCATGAGTTTAAGTCGCCAGATCTGGGACTCAAACCACGGTCGACTACGTAAGAGTCCAGTGACATAGCCATTACACTAACTGCTGGTACTCCTAATTATTAATTTTTTTAGAGTTGATTATTTTCTGTAGACACGGATCACCCTGAGAAAGGCATTTTGTGTCTCCTCTCCGGGCCTAGGTCACTCATATTCTGCTTAGAAATAAACCACATTAATTATTATTTTTACAGAGTTGGTTATTTTCCATCAATGAACAACAGGATTATTTGCTTGTTTTGAGGTAGAAAAAAAAGGCTCTGCAGTTAGCTTGGTCTCCTTGCTTCTAACAAGGATAAAAGAATTATTTCCAGATAGATGTCTACTCTACAGATGTGAAGG